CATTCACATTGTTGGCATGGTAAAATCATTGATGCATCAATCAAAATGAATCAAATTAGTGTGTTTCTACTGGGTACAATGGGAACTAATTTATTTCCAAACACCATAACAACAACATGGAAAACACCGACAGCAATAATCATTAAACTCATGGATAATTCGTTAATCCTACACTTTCCCATCTCTTAACTAATAATCAATTCTATATATATATATATACACATTCATTCTTATGCTCAATCACTACTCCAACACTCGATTACACATATTCATTCAGTTTGAAATTACTCAATCACTTATCAACTCTTATTACTTTCTCACTCCCAATCACTGTGCTTCACTTTCCATATGATGATGATGATCAATTGAGTAGTATATTACCATTCATTGTAAAATATCAAACAGGTTACTCTCTAATCTCACATGTATTTATATACACATCATGAATGAAAAGGAAGGACACAAGGTGATTGTCATCAAATCAGCAGATGAAGACAACTGTGTGGAAGAAGAAGAAGAAAAGCGAGAGAGAGAGAGAGAGGGAGAGGGAGAGAGGGAATCACTTGATGATTAAGTTAGTTTATTGATGCAGAAATTAAATTAAAATTCATTTCGAAACTATATTCAACTTTCAATGTTTGTTATTATTCTCCCTATTCCCCCCTAATCCCCTTGATTCGCCCTATTCTCCCAATTATTATTATTATTATTAATGTTATGGTAATTATCATCATCATCATCATCATCACCACCACTACCATGAAATCCTTTTCAAAATTGAATATTTGATGAGTAGATAATTGAACTTTTAATCCCCATACGTACAAAGTTGGTCGCTGACTCGCTACCTCGCTCGCTCTCTCTCTCGCTCGTTGCTGTCATATACACACACGTACACACACGTACACACATATATGGATCTCCCTAGTTGCATATACACATATCATCATATATACAAAGAAACAAGTTGAGATAAATTCAACTTTTCTTTCATTGAATCACTTTCATTCAAATGACTTTGTTTAATAGAATTTGCTTAAATTATCCATTCAACAATGATAATAATAATAAATGATTTCATGGTTACCATTAATAGTAAGGAGATGGATGAATAATGAATGGATAGATGATGGTGATGATGATGTTAGTCATTGTGATATATTATGTAACAGTTGAATTCATGAGTCAATGTAAGTTAGACCATTAATGACAATCTGGAAGTACTGAACGGCGGTTTCATCCCAGTATGGCACGCTTCAATAGTACACATCCACGATACCACTCTGTGAGATTCCAACACACAACCAATCGGTCGAGACCAATAGAGTTCAACTGGATCTGTCATGAGATAGTAACTCACTGAAGATTGGATTGGTGAAAGTTAGAAATTAATACTGTTGGACGCTGACCGATTCAGTGGTCTAAACCGAGACCAGTAGGTTCTGAGTTCGAATCACACGAGGCGGATTCTTGGAGACTCACACTAGGATGAAACGGCCGTTTAGTGCTTCCAAGTTTTCCATAATGCTCTAACTTCAATCAACTCATGATCTCAACTATTAAATTACTATCATCTTCACAATCCCCTCTCTGATTAATAAGCTTCTCCTATTACTATATACTTATTAAGTGATTTCAATTAGTTCATCAACCCTACTTATCTTCAATATCATAAAACACGTTAATTATCACTATGATTAATTGTTGTATTCACATACACATAATATACATGTATCATTAACATGGATAGATGATACATTCTGCAAGTTCCACATAACTCAAAATCTGTTCACTCAGTTTGTGAGTGTATGTGTATGTGTGTGTGACTGTGTGAGTGTGTGAGTAGTGAGGAGTTACACACTCACATTATCATCAGATGGATAGGTAGGTAGGTAGGTAGGTAGGTAGGTACATAGATGGGTAGATGGGTGGATGGATAGAGGAGTATAGAGACACGCGAATTCAAACTGATGATGATGATTATGTTACATACACATTGATAATTATTACTTGTAATAATCATAATGTAGATGTACATTGTTGAAGTGATTATCCTTCCATGATTCAGACTCATTTATTATTATTAATCAATCATTAATATAGGGTTGTGGAATGAAATCAGTTTTCATTGAGATCATGAACTGATCAACAGTAGACCACAATTGAGAATCTCGAAGCACTAGACGGCCGTTACGTTCAAATCTATGATACATCAGCATTACTCATCCACGGTTACCAACGCGGGACTCAAGCCCAGGACATTCAATTGTGTGTAAACACTTCACTTCTGAATTAAAACAATCCACAATATTGAGCAACCATCTGTATTTGTCTACGGTGGTCTACAGATTGAGCATTTTTGTGAGAACAAATGTCCTCATTTCGAGTATCGCGTGCGAGATGGTGATGAATAAATATTGTCGTATCATCCAAGAATATCTCCTTCAATGTATCGAGATGACGCAGTAACAACTTCAATAAATTTTACACTCAGTTAAATGCATTACTACAAATTCCATTGAAACACCATAACATCCAACAATCAAACATGATCATTCCTACATTTGCATTTATGTTTCATCCTCCTCCTGATGAACACCACATCACTAAGTTGTCACTAAGTGGTATTGCTTAGTTCATTATTAATTGACTACTGATCAAATTCCACACATCATCTCGCACCGCACACTGTCCATACACAGTTGGTAATTCTGTGTAAACAGTTTCATTGAATTACAATGTCTGATCTGATCATCATTAAAATATCATTCTCCTTATAACAAACTACTTCGTTATTATTCAAGTGTTATCACACTGTTATAGTCAGAGTGTTCGAACACATTTTGTCCAGTACATACACTAAATTGACAATGAATAACAAGTTCACTTCACAGTGGAATTGTGGAATCGTGCATTGGATGTGAATATTCCATTGTAAACGACATCTGCATATTGGAAAGTAGAATGGCTGAATGATGAATGGATGGATGGACAAAAGTTGGTTTGTTTTTATTCATCTATTCCTACTGTCCACGGGTATATGGTGCAGATTCACGGTTGGATTAACTAATCAAAGTCAGGTGATACGGTCGAAGATTCACTGGTTTGTCATCAAACAACCAACACAGTTCAATATTCATCTTTCATTCTTCACTAGTTCATATTCATCGTATCCACTAGTCGTTTACAAAATTGAAGGATTGTCAACATTGATTTCCATAGGGAAGTACTTTATTCATTCTGTCTACAACCACAATCTGTAATACAAATTCAATAATCATAACTATTTTCATTATGAATATTGTCAAAATGATTTCATTGATTATGTAATATTCACCATTCATTCTCTCATTTCAATTCATGATAGATTGATCAATTTGTAACCTGTTCACACTTAACAGCTAATTCTGTTGTAAATCACCAGCGTAGATGATCTATATCGAATGATTGGAGGACTATTAGAGTTAGACTGGAATCCTGTGACGAATCAGCTAACATCGAAGTCACAACTCTCGGTCAGCACCTAACGTGGATTACCGGTCCGACATATCAAGTACTGTGGTTGCTTAGAAGACCGTACAACACAGGGGACGTTATTACAAAAATGTATTAATTCAGGTCGATACAAGTGAAAGTAAGACCACCGCCGCCTCATGGGCTAGTCCATGGTGTACGACTAGCTGATGCACGTTGGTTGTCCTTGACCTTGACGAGGATCGATGATTTGATCGATATTCAGTGATCCATCTGCTGGGTGATTTGACTAGAGCTCAGTGACACTTCACTGGCCCGACACCGTCTTACACAACTACTCGTGCAATTCCAACAACCATCGACACTCCATCCAATCATCTCTCCCCATTCGACAATAAACTCACACTCTACACACATTTCATCATCATCATCATAAACACGTCCAACACAGTGAGAATTCCGAAGTAACAGAAGGCATAGAATTTACTTATCAATCGTCGGTTGAACGTATGTTCACGTCGGATGACAACAGTCACTATCGTCTCAACTGCTTTACCACATCACATAACACATAAGAAACAGTAGCGAACTTATAATAGTTTCAGTGAGACTATTAGTCATTTCATCCAGTGTTTTCATAATCATCAATCATCTGTTTGTCCATATAACCATAGTCCAATATTCATTTGGTACAATTCGATCTTCTACCACTCAGTCACAACCACAAGCACACATACACACAAAAACAGTTTGAGAGAGAGAGAGAAAAGTAGAAGAAAGAGAAGAAGAAGAACACAGACATATTGGAATTGAATGTTCCTTCATTAATCTATATTAAACTCAATATGATTAAATTTATTGCCCAAAGATAAATACAAACTGTTTTACACTCTTTTTTCTACTGAATTGTGATATCCTGCTTCTTTTATTTTCTTCTAAAAGGGAATTTGTTTGTGTGTATCAATTAATCATGCTGCTACTGATGATGCTGCTGCTGCTGATGATGATGATGATGATGTTGATATGAAAATTGGAAGAGACTTCTTCTTGATGGAATTTCTCAGAGGGATATTTCTATGCATATTAGTATATTTCAGTTTCCTTCATGTCTTACCCCTCTCTCCCCCCCACACACACACACTGAGGGAGAAAGAGAGAGGAGAGTGTGTGTGTGTGTAACTAGATATTAGCAAGTTAGTCATAGATTTAACGATACTATCCAATTCATCTTTCATAATTAACTGAGAACTCATATGCCTCATTAGTGAGAATATTAAATATATCAGTGTGAATATTTGTAAATGAGTAGTATTAGTATTAGTAGTAGTAGTATCGGTAGGTGATTAAATTAATGGAAAACTATACAATCCTAATGTTTATTAATAACTTGTTTTAGGATAGTACCTTCTCCTCCTCCTCCTCCACACACACACACAGTTACATTTGATATCAGTGTTAATAAACGATATCAAGGCAATGTATATGGAGGTGGTCAATTTATCTAATGTAAGAATATATGTAAATAACTAAATTGTAAATATATATATTTTGATGAATCTCATAAAATCAGTAGTAGTAGTAGTAGTAGTAGTAGTAGTAGTAGTAGTAGTAGTAGTAGTAGTAGTAGTAGTAGTAGTAGTAGTAGTAGTAGTAGTAGTAGTAGTAGTAGTAGTAGTAGTAGTAGTAGTAGTAGTAGTAGTAGTAGTAGTAGTAGTAGTAGTAGTAGTAGTAGTAGTAGTAGTAGTAGTAGTAGTAGTAGTAGTAGTAGTAGTAGTAGTAGTAGTAGTAGTAGTAGTAGTAGTAGTAGTAGTAGTAGTAGTAGTAGTAGTAGTAGTAGTAGTAGTAGTAGTAGTAGTAGTAGTAGTAGTACTAGTAGTAGTACTAGTAGTATTGTAGTGGGTGCTAATCATTAGATTGTTCATAAGTAGTATATTGCGGAACATAACATCGAAATGGCAATATTTGTACATCGAAAGTACGGTGTTGGCAAAATACTTGGAGACTAGATAAGAAGACAATTTAAGATAGTAGGATACACTGAAAGATATAAATGGATGACTGAAAACAACGTATATCTATTATGTCAATACTTTGTCGTTCTTCACAAATATAAATATTTCTGCTTATTATCATAGTTTACAGTATAAATAATAGCACAGGATGCACATATACCAATAAGAGACTAATCAATTGCAGTCCTAAACATCAGTGGGAAGATTCAAGTAAACAATACCAAGTAAATTCAAACTTCATCCCATTGTACAAGTGAGTGACTATCGGGACTCAGTAGCTAAGTGGACATCGTGATGCTGGTACTGGCTTCGAATCCCAGAGTGAACATCAACTTTCAAATGCAAGTACATCCATCTGATGAGTCTCGAATAGGACGAAACGCTCATTGTCCTTCATTCCACTGCTAGACACCACCCACCTTTGCTCAAAATGCTTTTGACTTAAAGTAATATCGAGGCAATCGTCACAGGATACACATATATTAATAAGAGACTAGTCAATTGCAGTTCTAAATCATACAAAATGAATACGAATGATAGTATCCATATAAGTAGTATAAATATAAGTAATGATATAGAATACTTCCCAATAGGGAATGAATAATATTGAACTGCATTATGTATTTAATGAAATACTAGTGAACATTGTCCAACTTTGATTAGTTAATTCAATCATTAAGATGTAGCATATACAATATAATCAGAGAAGGGGTTTCCCTGGAGATCTAAGTTATTTTAATAGTTGAATTCATGAGTTAATTGAAGTTAGATCACCATGGAAAACTTGGAAGCAATGAATGACCGTTTCGTCTTATTATATATTATATATCGCTGTTTCGTCCTAGTATGGAACTCCTCAGTAGTGCGGTTTCGCGATTCCGCCTCGCGAGATACCAACCCAGGATTTATTGGTCTCGCATGCGCGTGGACGCTTAACCTCTAGACCACTGAGCCGGTCGGCATCCAACGGTGTTAATATCTAATTTAAACTAATCCATGAAGTTGTACCACCGTCCACAATTGTCACCAGTGAATTACTATCTCACAGCAAACGCAGTTAATCTCCACTGGTCACGGCTTCTCACTAGAACTTCAGGAAATGCCTCGTGAAGCCATTCACTTGTGAGCATATGTTGATTAATATCACAAGTGGTTTTGTGGATATTATAGTTATTTTAATGGTTGAATTCATGAGTCGATTGAAGCTAGACCACCATGGAAAACCTGGAAGCACTGAACGACCGTTTCGTCTTAATATGGGGCTCCTCAACAGTGAGCATCCACGATCTCACCCAGTGAAATTCAAACCTAAGACTTATCACTCTCGCGTGCGCGAGCGCTTAACCACCAGACCACTGAGCCAGTCGACTGAAAGCCGCACGAACAAATCATCCAGCTCAGAGGACGAAATTTCACCATAATATATGATAATAGAAATTACAATGAGATTATTGAAACCTTTTGGAATAGGTGTAACACACAAACCAATAAAATTTCTATCAAAATTACTTCAAGTTGCTACAACTGCGGACAATACTACATTGGAAAAAGTGGACACCCTTTTCATCTTCGCCTGCATTGACATTAATTAATGGTCAAATGATATGACGTATCCTCGTTTATACCAATGGATGTGGACAACTATGGGCATACGTTCAACGTGAAAACTGTTGAGATCTTCGATAGAAGGCATTCTAAAAACTTCAGAGAATTTTTAGAAGCTTGGTACTCAAATCAGTTAGCAATCAACAAACACATTGAAACCGTTCAGATCTATCGACCATTCAGAAAAATGATGGAGAAATAGAAGATCAATAAATCAAATCAATGGGAGACACAATCAAAATGAAGAAGTACACAATGGCAGATGAAACACCAACAACAGCCAATAAAGATCAAGATCTACAGGACAAGCTATGAACTTCATGTGGATAAAGTCGAACACTTCACTTTGATCTGAAGTTTGTGGTGATGATATCGTTCAGAAGAACAATGAGAGCTCCACGACCCAAATCATTCCGCTCAGTGAACAAAACTCCATCAGTAACTCTTCAGAATATAATATGAAGCTTGTAAACACGAAATACAGAGACAGTTCTTCGAATCAAAAATCTGTCAAAAAAACACAATAATAAATAAATTTAACTGTTGAACTCATTAGAATCATGTTTGACTGATCCAATAGTCAACTGGAAACCTTGTTTACGAATGATGAAAGTCATTTTATGAACGTAGATTCATACTACTTTTACATTGAAAAGTAATATATCAATAGTCTATCCATTTTATATTGCACTGGTTGAAATCATGAGTTAATTGAAGCTAGACCACCGTGGAAAATCTGGAAGTACTGGACGGCCGTTTCGTCCTACTGTGGGAACCCTCAGCAGTGTGCATCCGCGATCCCGCACCCCGCGAGATTCGAAATCATGGCCTATCAGCCTCGTACCAGGCGCTTAACCAACTAGACCACTGAACCGGTTGGCATCCAACAGTATTAATGTCTAACTTCAACCAATCCACGAAGTATCGCCACCGTACACCATTGTCTTCAGTGAGTTCCTATCTCACAACACATCTGTTTGGACTCTAGTGGTAACGACGTCTCACTAGGACTCCAGGAGTGTCTCCTGAAGTCAGTTACTACTGAGCATAATAATTGTAATGACAATTTACGTAATCACTGTAATCACTAAAAATGTAATTTTGGAAAATATTCAGTACAATCCAACTCAAATACCTAATTTTTAAACCATGCTCAAAATTCTGTTGTGTATCTGCAATGTAAGAAGTTCATTCATACAGAAGAACTCTATCCATGAACAAGACAACCCCTACATAATTTAGTATAGAGAGAGATAATTAGATATTTTAGTATTTTCACAATTAAAATGACGAACTGATCTTGCTTAGACAATCATTGAAACCCTGGAAGTAATTAGTGTGTGAATGTGCTCTTCTGAAGAGTTCCATAATAGGATGAAATTGTAGTCTAGATTTTTCAGGTTTTCAATGATATCCAGCTAAGATCACTTTGTAATTTCAACTGTGCGCTTTTACTGGGAATGATTTAGACTTTGTGTTATATTCATGATTGAATGGTCTCATTAAGAGTACCACTAAAATACATGAAGCATTGAAACGTTGAGCATTAACTCACTGATTCTACCAATGTAACATTTGACACGAGATCGACGATGTCCTACAATCAATACCTGTGTGTATGTACTACTAAGGACCCAATCATTATTAGAAAATAATTATATTACTATCTCATGGCTTTCAGTGGTTCCTTTAGCTCATATCAGTTTGTGATGGATGAAACCCACAAACTTTCATAATTCTGATGAATTTGTTGTGATAACTAACGCTAAAACAGTTCAACCTTTATGACGCCAAGTGATTTATATAGAAGGAAAATTTAGATTAAAAAAAGGAAAGAACATCTAGTGAAACATAAATACCGTTGAATGCCGACTGACTCAGTGGTCTAGAGGTTAATCGTTCGCACGCATGCGAGACCAATAGATACTGGCTTCGAATCCTGCAAGTAGGATCATGAATGCACACCAATGACGAGACCCATGATAGGACGAAACAGCCATTTCAATACTTTCAGGTTTTCAACGATAGTCTAACTACCATCGATTCTTGATCTGAATCAAAAAGAAACTATATAATAGACCATGAAATGGATTACGTAATCGACTGTACAAAAGTCTAAAAAGTAAAAAACAGTATCCATTTACTGATTATAATGATTGTGATAGAGTGAAAACTAAAAAAAGGGGGGGACATGTTAGAGAAATACTCAGATTGTAATTTGTATATAGAACCAGTAATTAACTAATTTATTAATAATAAATGACTCTAAATCATGGAAAGTTAATCACTTCAACAATGTACATCTACATTATGATTATTACAAGTAATAATTATCAATGTGTATGTAACATAATCATCATGAGTTTGAATTCGCGTGTCTCTATACTCCTCTATCCATCCACCCATCAACCCATCTATGTACCTACCTACCTACCTACCTATCCATCTGATGATAATGTGAGTGTGTAACTCCTCACTAATCACACACTCACACCGTCACACACACATACACTCACAAATTGAGTGAGCAGATTTTGAGTTATGTGGAACTTGCAGAATGTATCATCTATCCATGTTAATGATACATGTATATTATGTGTATGTGAATACAACAATTAATCATAGTGATAATTAACGTGTTTTATGATATTGAAGAAAAGTGGATGAATGAATGAATGAATGAATCCATAATGATGGTGATGATGATAACTTATGATTATGGAGATATTCATTACAAAAATTATCCATTTTCATTAAGTTGAATGAAGTGAATTAGTTGTGAAGTGATGTGAAGTAAGTAACTAATTAAGTAAAGAAGGAAGGAAGGAAGGAGTTGAAGATGGATTCAGTGATTTCTTCACAGTAGAATGACTTATTAAATATATTACTTACTTTACTTACTTACTTACGCCTGTTACTCCTCATGAAGGGGCATAGACCGTTCACCAGCATTCTCCATCCGACCCTGTCCTGGGCAATCCTTTCTAGCTCCGTCCAGTTGTAATTCATCGTTTTCATATCTGCTTCTATTATCCGACGCAATGTGTTCTTTGGCCTTCCTCTTTTCCGCTTTCCTTCAGGATTCCAAGTTAGGGCTTGCCTCGTGGTGCAGTTTAGTGATTTGCGTAATGTATGTCCTATCCATTTCCATCGTCTTTTCCTAATTTCCTATTCAGCTGGAAGTTGGTTTGTTCTCTCCCACAGAAGGCTATTGCTGATGGTATCCGGCCAATGGGTGTTGAGTATCTTGAGTAGACAGCTATTTATAAATACTTGTACTTTCTTGATTGTGGTTGTTGTAGTTC